TGTGGAGCAATTAAATACCAATTTTACATATTCTATATGTAACGTTGCAGAAAACATTATTCGATAGTCATTGTCACGTGGCTATCGCCAGCCGCACATCTCGAATCGTGACTGGCGCTTAATAACAACGACAACTGAAATCAGCATACTACAAAAGGTGTGAGAAAACACACAAATACGCAATAAATACGTTCAACCATAGCTGTTAATTCAAAAATAAACTTGCGTCTGAATAGTGCACTAGTTAATACACACTTATTTATTTGATTTGCAACCGCGTGCGTTTAAAAAACTCAACTTCCAATTTTCCAATTCGCAATCGTCGCCGCAACAGTAGCAAAATGGCCGGAGCTACACTTTTCGAACGTGCCCAAGCGCTGTCTAGTGTGAATCGCGAGGAGGGCATTACCCTGCTGAATAAAATTGTGCGTGAACAAGAGGTGGCCGAGAACGATGAGGAGCTCATACGCATCAAGGAGCAGGGCATTATGCAGCTCGGCGAGCTCTACAAACAGGAGGGCAAGGCCAAAGAGCTGGCCGATTTAATCAAAGTGACTCGTCCATTTTTGAGCCTGATCAGCAAAGCCAAGGCTGCAAAGCTGGTGCGTTCGCTGGTCGATATGTTCCTTGATATGGATGCTGGCACTGGTATTGAGGTACGTTAACCATTCGGATGTGTCCCTATAGCGTCTAATCCAATTTGTTTTTTCCTTTCTGACAGGTTCAATTGTGCAAAGACTGTATAGAGTGGGCTAAGCAGGAGAAGCGCACCTTCTTGCGCCAATCGCTGGAAGCTCGCCTCATTGCCCTCTACTTTGACACGGCTCTGTATACGGAGGCCCTGGCTCTGGGCTCGCAGCTGCTGCGTGAGCTCAAGAAATTGGATGACAAAAATCTGCTGGTCGAGGTACAGCTGCTGGAGAGCAAAACCTATCATGCACTTAGTAACTTGCCCAAGGCCCGTGCCGCTCTAACTTCAGCGCGCACTACGGCAAATGCAATCTATTGTCCCCCGAAAGTGCAGGGCGCTCTTGATCTCCAGTCGGGCATTCTGCATGCAGCCGACGAGCGTGATTTTAAGACAGCATTTTCGTATTTCTATGAGGCATTTGAGGGCTTTGACAGCGTGGACAACGTCAAGGCACTGACTTCTCTCAAGTACATGTTGTTGTGTAAGATTATGCTTGGACAGTCGGACGATGTCAACCAAATAGTTAGCGGCAAGTTGGTAAGTAATTATATTAAAAAATAAATATATGTAATTAATGATATTAACAAATTGGTATTTAGGCCATAACCTATTCCGGCCGCGATGTTGACGCCATGAAAGCCGTGGCGGAGGCCTCACATAAGCGTTCGCTGGCCGACTTCCAACAGGCATTGAAGGACTACAAAAAGGAGCTAGCTGAGGATGTCATCGTACAGGCACATTTGGGCACGCTATATGACACAATGCTGGAGCAGAATCTATGTCGCATTATTGAGCCATATTCGCGCGTACAGGTTGGAGAAATTTATATATATTTATTCCAATGAAACGAATACATCCTCTGGCGTACATTTTGCAGGTGTCCCATGTGGCTGAGAGCATTAATCTGCCCATGCCACAGGTGGAAAAGAAGCTATCACAAATGATATTGGACAAAAAATTTAGCGGCATTTTGGATCAGGGCGAGGGCGTACTCATCGTCTTCGAGGAGACGCCAGTGGATAAGACATATGAGCGTGTTCTGGAGACCATACAGAGTATGGGCAAGGTGGTCGATACACTGTATCAAAAGGCCAAGAAGCTGTCATAAGTACTTTAAACTGGAATATGCACATACAGACCCCTAATCTGCGCTCCTCCCCTCCACCTACATCCGCGCATCAACAATTAATTAATATCTGGCGAAGTTAGAAGACAATTTTTTTTGGTTATTCCCATGCATTCTGCCAACAAAGAGAAAAAAAATTCCCACAGGGGATCCCTTTGAAAATCATCAACTTTGTTATAGCCACATCTTTGTATGTTTCGATACAATTAACAACAGCTGAAAACAAAAACAAATAATAAAATAAAAACATGTATTGGTGGTAATAGCAGTAAAAATATTGTGTAAACCATAATAAAAATATCTCTAAGCGTAATTAATTATCCCAAAACTAATAAGCGAAATTATTCAAATAATAATAAAACGGATAAAAAAAACGAAACGAATCTCAAAAATTATTCTGCTTTTGGGAAGTAAACTTCTCCAATTTATGATCAGATGTTAAATAAACTTTTAATAGTTTTTCGTTTAGTTTTCTAAAAAAGCAATTTCAATCTTTACTAATCATCTCAGAAAATTCGTGAACAGGCTGATTTTGATATTTACATATTTTTTATTATATTTGTTCTTACGTAATGAAAATAAATAATTTGCATATTCAAACATACATATGTATATAGAAATATATAGATATTTAACCGAACATGTGAGTTAGACCCAAGCCGGCGCCAAAGTTGGTTTTGCCACTGAAGGGGCCGCTAGTCCACTTGTTGGCATTGCCAGTTAGATCGAGGCGAGTGTTGCGATCCTGCGAGGACCAGAGATTGGCGCGTGCATCTAGACCCAATTGCTTGCCAATGCCGGGAATATTGCTGTGGGTCAAGCTGGCGCCGTGGCCATTGATGTGGGAGTAGTCCAGGCCAGCGCCATTGCGCTGGAACTGAAAGCCGTTGGCCAGCTTGTTCTGCGAGGCAAAGACTTTGGCGTCCAGGTTGTGCTTGCCGTTGTTGAATAGATTGGCATGCGCCGACTGCGTGAAGCTGTCCTGTACGCCGGGCGTGTGGGTTTTGGTCAGATCGAAGCCATGGCCATGACTGTGTGGGGCGAAAAATCCAACATTAGCTAGGCAATTGGGGGAAAAGTGTCTTCAGGGATTCACTTACTTATTGTAGGCCAAGGATCCTCCGGTGGTGACAGGTCCCTTTTGTGTATTGCCCGCTGCGAAGACTTGTCCAATCACATTGTGATCGGGTGAGCCGATGCCTTTGCTGAGATTCAGACGTGCATCGGAGCCACCAGCCGGATTCGAGGACACCGAGCCGCCCAGCACCTGGCGACGCACTCGAATGGGACGCGGCGGTGGTGTGGGTCGTGGATAATACGGAAGGGTTTGGAAGCGCTGTGGCATGGCCTCCACACAGACACCAATGGCCACAATGGCCAGGATGAGAATGCTGCTGCTACGCTTGCTGTGCATGTTGCTTCGTTGAGTTCTTGCTGTTGACTGATGATTGAATGTTGCCACAGCTAGCGCTTAAATACTCCATCTACATCCAAGTGGGGAAGCACCATGTGAGGCTGTTGGTTTAGGTGATTGGGGCGCTGATTGTGATTCACCCTCGCTGACATCGGTCTCTGTTTCGTTGTCTTTTTCTCTCGTTGTCTTATCAGCTGCAGCGTCTTTGCGAAAATCCCCGCGCATAGTTCGAAGCCATAAAAAAGTTTTTGCCTGCCTGCCTCAACTTGTTGCTGTCCACAGTGCGGTAGGTTCTAAGGCAACAAGAGTAAAGTTGAATGAAATACACGCATACATGCATGTATATGTGTTTGTATATTAAATACAAAAATAATGTACTAAGACCACAATTAAATTCAATTTGATTTAATATGTAAATCACGCAAAGCAATTTCAATTTTAACGAAGGCTGCAACGAAAGATCTGAACGAAACTGATGTGTGAACATGTATCCTTGTGTGAGTGTGTATATCTCCCTCCCTCTCTGTCTATCGGTGTATGAGTGCTTAAGCCTTTTGACGTATGTCTGTAAGTGTGCGTGAGTATGTCTGCAGGCATAGATTTATGTATGTTTGAGTGGCTGCCTGTCGGGTTACTTCGTTAAGCACAGATGAAACAGTTAATTTCGAGCATCTAAACGAAGAGAATGGGAAGAGAAGTTTGAGCGAGCTCAAAGAGAAACTTTACACTCAATTTGAGTGGAGTGGAATCTATTTTTGGCAAAAACTTAATTCAATTGATGCGCAGGAGCAGAGAACACATGCAAAGAGAAAAGCAAATAATGAGCGAAAGCTATATATAATTTAAGAAAGCTTAAACCAAAATTATAAATTTAAAATGTAATTTAAAATAAAACTTTAAATTATTAAATAAACATAAAAGTATTTCAAGTCTTTTAATGTAAGAGTCTTTATCAGCATACATCGTAATGACGTCGTAGGCAAGATCAGCTTAATTGGCTTTGCTGTCAAACAATCATTTTTTTCGAGGGGAATTTCTGGTTTTTCTAGAAATGTATTAATGAAAAAAAAAAAAAAAAAAAAGAACCATGATATAGTAGCTGTGCCTAAAGACTTTCATGTGGTTTATTTGTATTATTTATATGAATGTATACTGTAGCTTCTAAATGTTGATTGATGACACAAACAAATGCTTATCAATTGCTTGGCTCAAACAGCATCTATTTCAGCTATACAAAATGAGATACGATTTTTTTTTTTTTTTGTATAATATATGTATTTATGTTTATTTATAATATATTTATATTTAGTCTTTAAGGCATTTATTTGAATAAATTTCATTTGTAAAACACGTATAAAATGAAAAAGGACTATATTATATATAGTAGTGATATAATAAATATTAAAAATATTTATGTGCTTGAAACTCTATAGATTTGAAATATACTACATATTACATATATAAAAAGTAAATATATTCAATTTCTCTAAAGAATAATATTATTAATTAAATTATTAGCCAATCTCTCTCTAATATAATTTAAAGGTCCTACATGCTGTGGGGCTTAACCTGTCAGCTCTTTTGGAAGGAAACTCTCTTTGGACTGCTTGCAACTTGCTCTTAGCCGGTGCTGTGACGCCTCGTATGTCAACGTTGTCGAATCTCATTAGGTTTAGCACACGAATCGCGCTTGAGCGAGCTTTTCCGTTTTCCGCTTTTCTTCGTTCTTGAGCGTTTCTGTTGTTGGTTTATTTGGCTCTTGGAAAACTGTGTGTGCGCTGAACAAATTGTCAAATGCGCGTATAGAGGCAAGACGCGATTTGTCTGTAGAAAAACTTTGCTTATCGATTACGCACGTAACACATTGCTTCAGCTATAACCGTGAAAATTTTTGAAATAAATGTGCTAACAATACTGGTGTGTAAAATAGTTTAAAATAAACAAATTTAATTCAATTTTGAATCAGTTTTGAATGAAAACCTGCAAATATATTTGTGTCTATCCATAAATTGTGCTATACCAAGATTTTCCTGTGCTATCTTTAATGTTGGCCTTCACGTTGTATATAGAGGCAGCAGACATACGTCAATGTATACATAGCTGTGCCAAGAAGTGTCACTGCCAAGTGAATTAGTAACTGTGCTTTGTCTTTAGAATTGTTGTGTAATTGAAGCTCTAAAACAAAATGGATATCCTGGGCAGCCTAAAAAAAAAAATATTTATATGCTTATATAGCAGAAAGAAACTTTATATTAATATAAAAATAATAATAAGGAATATGAATTTTGTATTTTGAAAAATAATTGTTAACAAATTGAAATATCATACAGAAAAAGTCCTTATATGTAGCATAAAACAACAACAAGTCTGCTCCATATACATGCACAGAATATGTGTCTGGCTATGTATACACACGCACACACATATACATGAATGTACATACACATACACACATATGCGCTATAGTACCTTTCGCAGACAAACCCACTTACCTACATTTAGAACTCTGCGTATGTGTGATAAAAGAGCAAAAATAAAAAAAAAGTTGCCAGGCTAAAAAGTGACAAAAACAAAATTCACTCATTCGCTCAGTTGAACGCGACGCGAGGCGACGCTTAAAGCTCAAAGCTAATGCAATACTCACTCAAGCCAATGCTCAGTGCCCTGTGTGGCTCCGTTGCCCGCCTCACCCTCTCTCACTCTCTCACACACACACACAGAAATCATTAGGCAACCTACCCTCGCCCTGTGTGCGCTCAAGCAGTTTTTTATTGTGTCGTTCGCTTTGTCATTTATTATGAAATGTGCATTTTCAATGTTAAGTGCGACAGTTGAAATGGACAAATGGGAAAATGGAAAAGTGGAAAAATGAAAAATGCATGCCCAAAGGCATAATCTGTATAATCAGGAAATCTAACAAAGGCAGCTAGAAATTGAAAGAGCAACTCTTTTAGCCTGGCTTATGGCTTTGTTATTATTGTAGTGCCTCGACTTGTTTAATGAGTTGTGATTGATTTTAATCTAGCATATAATATATTATGTGCATATATTTATATAAATATATTAGAGTACTATATAATAAATTTATGCAACAGGTGATAGGTAGTGTGTGTGGAAATCAATAATGAAAACTAAAACAAATACATCCATATAGAGTATGTATGTATAAGAAAACTCAATATTTTTGATATGTGCATATAAAAAAACATAAATCATTTATATAACTATATGTTTATAAACAAATGAATATTTATTTATATATGGCTATTATGAATATTATTGAATATTTGAGTTCCCAGTTTTGGTTCCATGTTGAGGTTACAACTGCCATTGGCTGAACACAGGTCAAGTTTGCCTTCACTCGCTTTTGCTCTCTGTGCAACAGTTGCATTCTTACAATTCTCAAGTTTTTACAGCTTAGACAAACTTTGCATCGCGAGGACGAACCAGCAGTCAATAGTAAAGTGGATTGATAATCGGAGGATCTAGAAGCTATGCCAAAAGCTATGCAGAAGCAAATTTCTAACATTTTGTGTGTAAAACTTTGTTCATTTGTGTTTAGTAATAAATATAATAAATTTAAGTTTGCTTAGAAAATTATAATTTTTTTTTAACATATTTGTATATGCTCATATATTTACATGAGTTTCTGTAACCTTGTTTTATTTCATTACAAATTTTATTATTGTATATATTTTTTATATTTATAGATAGGTCTATTTTTGTTCTAGGCTTCAAAATCAGAATTTTTGGCAAAGTAAATTTTCATTCTGATCATATTATATATAATTAAATGAAATTTAGTTAGCGTTTCAAAAGTCTGGGTAACAAATATTATTATATATGTAATTCTATTTTTGTTCTATTTTGTATTAGATTGAACTACATATACATATTAATATATATATAATTTAATAAAAAAAAAATAAATTAGTATATGTATATTAAAGAAAGTAAATGAAAATAATATGATACAAATACATACATTGAATATAATAAATATAATAAATATATATTTACCTTTAATAAATTAAATAAATTTAAGCTGAACTTTTAATTTGATGACAAGGGTAACTTTTAAATAAAAAAAAATAATTAAATAAAATTTTTAAATATTATATTACAAAATATATTTGCTAAAAGAAAATAAATTAAATATATAGACATAAATATATGTATTTGATATATATGTATATTTACATATATGCTGAGAGTAGATTACTATCTAAACTAATATCTCATTTAATAATCATAATTCTGAGTAAATCCCTACTTTAGCCACACCTGCCAGCATTTCCGTAAGCAATCTAACTAATTCTACGTAAATTCTTCCATTGTCTATCCTAAGCAGCTGCTGAAAGGATAATCGGAGGCATGATGCTGTAGTTGTGAGGGCAGAGAAACGCACAAAAGGATTATTGAAACAAAAGCTCCTCGCTGCAGGGCAGGAAGTGTCAGGGCGTAACGGAAGCAGTTAGTCCGACCAGACGACAGCGTCCGACTAGACAGCAGACAAACATATACCTATATATACACACACATACACGTATACAAATATATAAATGAATCCGTATAATGCAGCTGGTGGCGGTGGTGCGGCCAATCCGTTTGGGGCGCCCGCCTCGAGCGTCGGCTACGGCCAGCCACAACAGCCGGGCATGGGCTATGGCTACGAGCAGCAGTCGACTGGGGGCTACGATCAGGGCGGAGGAGCGGGCATGGGTTACGGGCAGCCGCAGCAGGTGCCTGGCTATGGACCACAGGGCGTCAGACCGCGCGTCGATGTGGAGGCCACTGGTGAAGTGGATCCCAGTTTGTGAGTAGCCAATGTCGCTTCTTCATCCACCTCAAATGCTTAACCTTTGGAGCTTTGCAGATATCCGGAGGCCAAGGACTCAACGCACAAAGTACGCGGCGCTTCGGGCATCATAGAGATGTTCTTTGGCGGCACGGAGCAGGAGCTGATACCCGTGAAGAGTTTCTATTTCTTCTTCTATGCGGCCTTCGGCTCGCTCTTTCCACTGATGGGCGTCTACTTCAAGCAGATGGGCATGAATCCGGGCCAATGCGGCATCCTCGTCGGCATGCGGCCCTTCGTCGAGTTTCTGTCGGCGCCCTTCTGGGGCTCCTATGCGGATCGCTGTCGCCAGGGCAAAAAGCTGTTGCTCGCCTCGCTCGCCTGCTGGGTGCTCTTCACCATTCCGCTGAGCTTCATCCGCCCGGAGGCGGTCAACTGCATCGAGCGCCGCAATGCCACCGACTTTGTGCTGACGTATACGCGCACCAAGCGCGACACCTCCGCCATGTACGATCCGAGCAGCCAGCTGGAACTGGAGCAGGAGCTGGCCTACGACGATGCCCATGGCGACGAGACGGAGCACAGCCGGCACAAGAGATCGCTGCTGCTGCCGCGCATCGATGCGGGCATCTCGCCGGTGCACATCAACTTCGTGAGCAACTACGATGACAAGCATCATCGGGACTATGTGACGCCCATCTTCAGCTCCATGGTCTACCGCACGCCGGTAAGTCTGAGCACAGCCGAGGATTCGTTGGGAGTGGCTAGTAATTGACCTTCTATCTATGCTCTTTGCCCCTTGCCCCTTGCCCATTGCAGGACATCCAGAAGGCGTTCTTCCTGCTGCTGCTGGTCATTCTGATTGGTGAGTTCTTCAGTGCTCCGGCCATCACACTGGCCGACTCGGCGGTCATCACGCTGCTCGGCGAGGATGCGGATAAGTACGGACATCAGCGCATGTTCGGCTCCTTGGGCTGGGGCATCTCGATGTTTCTGGTCGGCATTGCCCTGGATCACTCCACTTCCTTCTCGAATCATCCGTGCGGCGCCGGCAACAAGGAGAAGAACTACAACATATGCTTCTCCATCTTCTCGGTGCTGATGACGTGCGCCATCATCTCCGCCTCGAAGATCACCTTCAAGTACGAGCCGGTGGACGAGAGCCAGCAGCAGGCGGCCGCTCAATTCGTGGATCCCAACAAGAAGGCCGAGGAGGAGTCCATGAATCAGCTGGCCGCCCAGCTCAACTTACCATCACTGGCAGTGGGTAGTGGCAGCGCCGCTTCGGGTGCCTGCTCCGGTGGCTTGAGCAGCTTCACTGGCGCCGCCCATCAGCCGCAGCCGCATATCGGCGCCGAGTCCAAGGTGTTCGCCCAGACGGCCAAGGAGTTGCCCGAATGGGTGACTGTGCTGACACATTTCAAGGATCTGAAGACGGCCTCATTTCTGTTTGTCGCCTGGTTCATGGGCTTCGGCATTGGTCTGATCTTCACCTTTCTGTTCTGGCATCTGCAGGACTATGGCGGCACGCCCACCCTGTTCGGTGTGGCGTCCGTCATCAATCATGTGTCCGAGATTTTTGCGTATTTCTTCAGCTTTCGCTTGATCACCCAGATCGGGCACGTCAAGGTGCTCTGCCTGGGCCTAATTGGCAATGTGTTGCGTTTTCTCTATATCTCCTATCTGACCAATCCGTGGATGGTGTTGCCCTTCGAGCTGATGCAGGGCATCACCCATGCCGCCGTCTGGGCCGCCTCGTGCTCCTACATTGCACACAATACGCCCAAGCATCTGCGCGCCTCGTCCCAGGGCGTGCTCCAGGGCATCCATCATGGCTTGGGTCGCGGCTGCGGCGCCATCATTGGCGGCATGTTTGTCACCTATTACGGTACTACTGCTACCTTCCGTTGGTATGGTATTGCCTGCCTCTTTGTGCTCGGCCTCTTCATCTTCATCAACTTCTATCGCAAGGAGCAGGGCTTCATATCGGATATACCCGTTACCGAGGATCCGCATCAGGTGAATATCTATATCGACATCTATATGTGCCCTTAATAATCTTTCCATTCCTTCAGGTGGCCGAAGAGACTTCCCATTTGGCGCCACATGGTGTGCCCAGCAATCCAATACCTCGCGCTCTGTCCAATACGCGTCTGAACGAAATGAATCCAAATGGCGGACCCTATGGCACCTACCAGACAACTGGCGGCAATCTGGACATACCCGGCGCCAATCCGCACAATCCGTTTGCACAGTAAAAAAGGCCAGAGTGAATCTAACTGAACTCCAGACTTCCCACATAACAAACCATCCTCGCATACCATAAAAAGAACCATCACAAATACATGCTCACATAGTCATGGACACAACAGCACAGATTGAACAATATATATATATATATATATATGATGTATATGTATATACATATATAACCGAAAACATATCTTGGACATTGGCCTGCAATATATAAATTGCTAAATGCATTGCTTTATTATGGGTTTTGGTGCTTGAAACATACATACATAGCAAACACAAACAAACATACATACATATATATGCCATATACATATAAACAACTACCAACAAAATATTTAGCAAATGAATGAATGCATATATTTTATATTGGAAATTCATAGAATATATACATTAAGCAATACTTTTTTGCTTATTATTAAATTTATTCCAAAGCAAAATAAAAATAATTAAAATATATATAATTTCCTTTGCGAAAATTCTTTATAATAATTTTATTTGATTTGATTTTTTTTTTTTTTTTTAGAAAAATAATATTAACATCAAGAGATTTAGGTCTATATATATATTTAGCGAGCACTTTATGAAATCAACATATTGATTATATATTATATAAATATATATATATATATATATATATATATATATAAAGAATGGTTTTTTATTTTATAAAAAGCAATTCGAACGAATTTTCACATAGTTGCAGTTAGCATAAAAAAAAAAACACAAAATAATATTGGCCTAATCTTTTATATTTAATAAGCATTTTACAGTTTATTTGCATCGCAATCACATCATATGGAAGGAAATATTTAAAGGATCATAGAAACACACCATAGTCCTAGAGGAACCAATAACACACATATACGAACAAACATACACAACTAAATGAAAAGCGATAACACATAAAGTACCTATAATACTTATATACAAACAATAAAAATAAAAGATATGTAAAAGACAAAAAAAAAAAAAAAAAATTAATAAATAAAAATAAATAAATGAATAAAAAATTGAAATTTAATTTTATATATGAAATATCAGTTGAAAGAAAATAATTAGTTTTTATATTTAAGAGAAATCCTTAAAAATATATGCAAGCTTGAGTAATTAAAAAATACACATATTTAGTAGTACATTTTAATTTATTTAAGAGGTAATTTTTGAAATGCTTTAATATAATTTAGGATTTTTTATTTAAAATTAAAAAATTATGTATAGCTTTTAATATTTCACATTTAAAGTTAAAGGGAACATTTAGAAAGTCCTTAAAAAATTAAAAGTGGATTATTTATTGTAAAGATTTGAATAATTCAAAATTATTTTATTAATTTGAATTGTTATAAATATAATTCTATATTTTTTTAAAATTATAAATTTATGTTAGGCATAATATATTAATATAAATATTATATATATTAAAATATAAATTAAAATTATTTATAATATAATATTGTGTATATATTTTAATTTTATATAAATCATTAAAATTTATACTTTTTCCATAGTTATAATAATTTATTTATAAATAATTTGAATTTTTGATTGTGAATAAAATAAATTTATTATTGTAATGTGATATATTACATTTACAATTGTAAAATTATTTTATTTATAATTATGAATTTCAAAAATATTATTATAAATTTAAATCATATATAATACACTTATAATTATAATTACATTTACATTAATTTTTTGAAACAAAATTCCATATGAATATGAATATATATGTAGTTGTTTTAAATACAAAACACGAGCTAAATAAACTAAATAAAATTTGAGAATTTTGGAAAAACTAAACTTAAAATTGAAAGAACATTGAGAAATTGAGAAACAAATGCTGTAACGAATGATATTATGAAAATCCGCCTCATTACAATCAAATGTTAAATATGTTAATTTTATGTACTATATACATATATATATGGCGTATATACATATATATATATATAATATACATATTTATATGTAAACGATTATAAATGGCTATTTTGAAATACATACTTCTCTATAGAAAGAACAACAAAACCCAAAAACTAAAAACTAATTCGATGTCTAGTTAAATATATATATAAATAAATATATATATATATATATTTGCAGAAATGTACCTAAGATTTTGATTTTGAACTTGATATGAAATACTCTATATAGTAAATATATATAGTAACATAAATATATATATATATATATATATTAATTACCGTTAATGATTCAAACTGTCTTAGATATTGTTACTATAAAATATTCAATGGATATGTTTCAAATTGAATTTTCTAATTCTTATTATTATTATACTCTAGCTCTTATGTACAGCACATTTATGAAACTTTGGGTAACTTATATGAGAAACAAGAACAAAAAAAAAAAAAAAAAACCAAATATTAATAATGATGTACAATGTGCACTTAAGTTATGTTTGCTGAGCTACAAATTTAACCAACGGCTCCAGAATATATCTAAATTATACTAACTATAAATAAACACACATGCATACAAGAATGTACAAGTATTATACACAAGGCGCATACCATTAAACATTGACATATAAACATAAACACATGCAACATGTATTACATATAGAAATCCAAGAACTCATGTAATATGTATGTTTAAATAAAAGTTGGAAAAATCGATTGGGTGCACATTGTGGATGGGGCTTAATACATTCATTTATTAACCATTTATTAAGTATATATCAATTGCTTAAACAATTTCCAACATTGGCTAAGTTTCATCTGCATCTGTTTTGGGCTTTTTGGCCGCTGGCGCTGCCTCTGCTGCCGGCAGCTTCTCGGAGAATATGGCCTGGGGCTGGGTTTGCTTGTAGGCGGGCGCAATCCAATATGGATTCTCGGCCGCATCCTTGGCATACTTGAGGATGGCCTCGCGAGGATCCTGGTCGTCGTCGACACGTTTGCTCAGGCCCAGATTGCGTATGACATAGGAGGAGAGTGTGCCGCCCGAGCTGGCAACGCGGCCGCCTTGGCCGCTGGTAATGGGTAAGTCGGGTCGCTTCGACTTGACCGGATCCATGCGCGCCTTTTCCATCTTCTTGCGCGAGGAGCGTGTCTTCTCCTGCCGGAACAGCGGCAGGGCATGCGGTGTTATAATCTGCGACACGCCCACCATTTCCATTTGTTGCCTCTTGCGATGCGTCTTCACCACGCACAGCTTGGCGCCGCGTATGCTGCGCTGTTCGTCGTAGAGGCACTTGATGATGCCATTGCCGCAGCTGACGAAGAGTTGATTCAGCTTGGGATGCCACAGCGTTTTGATGACATGCGAACTGGCCACAGGTATGCGTTGCACCTCCTCAAAGCTCTGGGTGCTATAGAAGTAAAGATTCGCCTCCTTTTGCTCTTTGGGCAGCGACTCGCCGGTGACCAGCATGCGATCATCCGGACTGAAGCAGCAGTCGGTCGTGTCGTAGCGTGAGAAAAGATTCGACCAAGTGTGCATCGGCTGCTTGAAGTTCCTCAGGTCCCAGAGCTTCATGGTCTCGTCATTGCTGCGCGTCGCAAGCTGCTGGCCCATGTATGAGAACACAATGGACGTAATCTCGGAGCCTTTCTGATGTGCTGTGCGGACGCAGTGCGTCGTATTTACGAACATCTTTCGTGTGTCCCAGGTCTGTATGGAACCGTCCACGCAACCAGCGGCGATGAGAGTTGCATCTCGATTGAAATTGCAGGCGGACGCATTTGTTCTTAGACCGCCCTGAGCTCGCGTCTTGATCACCTGCATCTGCTCCTTGGCTCGTAGTCCCTGCCAGATGCGCAGTGTGCCGTCGAGAGCTGCGGTCAGGAATTGCTCCCGGTTGAATGGATGCCAGCAGCCAGAGGTTAGCTGAGCCACATGGCCCTTTGTGCGGGTCATGTCGCTTATATATTGATCTCCCTTGCAGCATTCCAGCTTCTCGAAGCCGTCTCGATCGAGGATTTTGGCCTGTGCATTGCCAGATATAACGAGGATCATGTCACCAGTGACGGAGTATTGAAGGCCTCGTATGGGATGATTCTCACAGGGCTGCAATTGACGAAAGCTACGCATGGAGGAATCCATGCCAACAAAGTCCCAGAAACACATGTCATAGTCAATGGAGCCCGACACAAGTCGAGCGCCGGAAGGATCTCCAGCAAGTGCCAAGACGGCTCGTGATCCGTGCTGCATTTGGACTTCGTGTGTGTAGGGTATGCGACGTATTAGGCTGTCCTCATCGTCATCATCGGAATCACCATCGTCATCGTCGTTATCATCCTCATCGTCTGCCTGATGCTTCTTATCATTAGCATCTTTTTTCGAACTGGCCTCTGGCTTGTCCTTCTCTGGTTGGCTCTCTGTGTCTGCTGTTGGTGGCAGTGGACCAATAACATCCTCGTCATCCTCATTCGGTTCTTGTTCCTGCACGCGAGGCGCAGCAGTGCGCGCCTTTGCGATCTGCTCATTGATGTCGAAGACTTTCGCTGCCTTCCGGCCAAAACCGCTGATGCCCATCATTTCTTTCAGATGTTGGCTCTCCAGATCCTCGGCCACATCTTCAATTTGACGTATCATCTGTTGCTTATCTATCTTCTTGAAGCCGCCAGCATCCTGGGATTCCTGAGTTGTTTCAGCAGGCGTCATATTTATGTTCAGCTGTATTTTGCCAAACGAGATCTTGCCGCGCTGCATAGCGAGCTGATTTAATTTATTTCTGTGGCTTTAAAGAAAAAAACGTTTATTGTTATTCTTCAGCTTTGGTTTTTGTTTTGGCTGCTTCGCACTCAGCTATCGATGTATCGATAAAGTGATTTTTCGATTAATTCAAAAAATACTGAATTTCCTTTGTAGTAAACTAAAAAATACTGATAGTATTATTTGAAATTTACAATTGTGATATATAAAATGTAATTAAAATTCATAATGAAATCCAATGTGCATCCGTTTTTAATGTGTTTAATTATGCTATGATGTTATCTTCACTGTTCTTGCTAGATTTCCAAATGTTTTGTTTACTCTCAGCTGTTGCTTGCAGTGTTGCCAGGTTTTGAGACATAAAAATAGCAAAATCGTCTCTAAAAAATAGCTGAAAATAGCTAAACAAATTTTAAAATAGCTTACAAAATAGCTGAAACCTTTATGCATTATGCATTTACTTTAAATTTTATTTTTAAATGTTATTTAATAATGTTACAATTTGGTCCACATCCAAATCATCATCAGAATTATATTTTTGATTAACTGGAATCATTTTTAAATATTTGGAAGGCACGGTATAATCATGGCAGCATTTGCCATTGCTGCGCAAGAAGAATTAGCGATGGTATAAATTCACTACTAGTGATGGTATAAGTACGACAAAGTCGTGGTGGTAGTATCGCGCAGATCATTACGTACAATTTGGGACTTAATCGAAAAATGTTTTTTTTTTTTTTGCTTTAAATACTAAAATCAAATTCAAAATATTCGTTTGTAAAATAGCTAAATTTATAGCTAATAGCATTTTCAAAATTTTCATAGCATTTAGGGTTCAAAAATAGCTAAAAATGCTATTAAATAGCTAATCTGGCAACACTGGTTGCTTGTACTTTAAAATACCCGTTACTTGCTATGAATGAAAACAGAAATACCAACGCTAGCATCTAACCTAAAATTGGGCGCGCAGTCGGCTTTTGGCATTTCGCTCGTGCGCAATTTATTGCGTATTCTGTGAAGATTCGCGAATTGTCTTGATTTATAGTTTGTTTAATATAGTATTTAGTGCAGGACACATTGTAAAATGGTGGAAACTTTGGAGTACAACGACATAAATGCCGAAGTGCGCGGCGTTTTGGTAAGCTTGTTTTGCGAATTGTCGGCAACGTTTGTCTGGCATTTGTTTTTCTCACACTTCTCTTATGTTATTTATTGATATAGTCTTCTGGACGCCTGAAGCTCACCGAACAAAACATTATCTTCAAGAACAACAAAACGGGCAAAGTGGAGCAGATTGCCGCGGATGATATAGATTTGATCAATTCGCAAAAATTCGTCGGCACCTGGGGCCTGCGTATCTTTACAAAGAGCGGTGCGTTGCATCGTTTCACTGGTTTTCGTGATAGCGAGCATGAGAAACTGGGCAAGTACATCAAGGAAGCCTATTCGCAGGAAATGGTGGAGAAGGAGATGTGTGTCAAGGGCTGGAACTGGGGCACAGCTCGCTTCATGGGCTCCGTGCTGAGCTTCGATAAGGATACAAAAACCATTTTTGAAGTGCCCTTGTCGTATGTGTCACAATGCGTCACCGGCAAGAATGAGGTCACACTGGAATTTCATCAGAACGACGATGCACCAGTTGGTCTGCTCGAGATGCGTTTCCACATACCGGCTGTGGAGTCAGCGGACGAGGATCCAGTCGAAAAGTTCCATCAAAATGTCATGAACAAGGCGTCGGTCATATCGGCTTCGGGCGAGTCCATTGCCATATTCCGCGAAATACACATTCTGACGCCGCGTGGTCGGTACGACATCAAAATCTTCTCGACCTTCTTCCAGCTGCACGGCAAGACATTCGACTACAAAATACCCATGGACTCGGTACTGCGACTGTTCATGCTGCCGCACAAGGATAGTCGTCAAATGTTCTTTGTCCTCTCGCTGGATCCGCCCATCAAACAGGGCCAGACACGCTATCATTACCTTGTGCTGCTATTCGCGCCCGACGAGGAGACCACAATTGAGCTGCCCTTCAGCGAGGCGGAGCTGCGGGACAAGTATGAGGGCAAATTGGAGAAGGAACTGTCCGGGCCTGTCTATGAGGTCATGGGCAAGGTGATGAAGGTCCTGATCGGGCGCAAGATAACAGGCCCAGGCAATTTCATTGGACATTCCGGCACCGCTGCCATAGGCTGTTCGTTCAAAGCAGCTGCCGGCTATCTGTATCCGCTGGAGCGCGGCTTTATCTACATACACAAGCCACCGCTGCATATACGTTTCGAGGAGATCAGCTCAGTGAATTTTGCGCGTAGCGGCGGTTCGACGCGCTCCTTTGACTTTGAGGTCACTCTCAAGAATGGCACTGTGCACATCTTCTCCTCCATTGAGAAGGAGGAGTATGCCAAGCTGTTTGACTTCATCACACAGAAGAAGCTGCATGTGAGCAACATGGGCAAGGACAAGAGCGGCTACAAGGATGTTGACTTTGGCGACTCGGACAATGAAAACGAACCGGATGCATATCTGGCACGACTCAAGGCCGAGGCACGCGAGAAGGAGGAGGAAGACGATGATGGCGACGATTCCGATGAGGAGTCCACGGACGAGGACTTCAAGCCCAACGAAAACGAATCGGATGTGGCCGAGGAGTACGACAGCAATGTGCAGAGCGACTCGGACGACGACAGTGATGCCAGCGGTGGTGGCGGAGGTGGCGGCGGCGACAGCGATGGAGCATCTAAAAAGAAGCACAAAGAGAAGAAACGCGAAAAGAAAGAGAAAAAGGAGAAGAAGCACAAAGAAAAGGAGCGAACAGTAAGTAGATTCAAATGCAATAGTATAAAAAAAGAATTATTTGAACTAATTTTCCTAATCTACCCCAATAGAAGAAGACCACCAAGAAGAAGGACAGCAACAAACCGAAGCGTCCCACGACAGCGTTTATGCTGTGGCTAAGCGAGACGCGTGAGCAGATCAAGCGCGACAATCCCGGCATAAAGGTCACAGAAATCGCCAAGAAGGGCGGTGAGATGTGGAAGGAGCTGAAGGACAAATCCAAGTGGGAAGAGCTGGCCAGCAAGGACAAGCAACGCTATCAGGATGCGATGCGTAACTACAAACCAGGTGCCGGTGGTGATGCTGCTAGCGACGACGACGAAACTTCCAGCAGCAAAGCACCAAAGAAACGCAGCTCTGACGTCTCCCCAACGAAAAAGTCGAATACCTCTGGCAGTGGTTTCAAGAGCAAGGAGTACATATCGGATGATGATTCCACCAGCTCAGATGATGGCAAAAACGCTAGCAGTGAGCCGGCCAAAAAGAAGAGCAAATCGAGTGAGGCCACATCGAAGAAGAAGGCCAAAGATAGCGAAAGCGAAGCGGAGGCCACCGATGAGGAGACCAACGAATCCAATGATGATGATGAGGATGAGGCCAGTGATTAGTTACGAACATTTCCACCCACACACAGATGCACACACGCACGCATACCAACATGTGTTTAGCTCTAAGTTAACTGTTATAAACAGGCTAGCAAAACAGCTCGCTTGGTCTAGAATTTGTCTTTTCATTAAACGCTATTTACCGCTATTTAATGTATCTAAAAATGTTCCATTTGATAGCCCCAAATTTTTACCAGCGGATGGCCAATTACGTTGGTCATTTACCTAAAACCAAAAAAATATCTATATAATTGTTCCGATTGGGTTCGTTGTTGTTTTGCATTCAAGCAGAGCGGACGGATATATTCGATATGTCAGCGTATTTTATAAAATAGTATAGAAAATATTTCGCAAATGTCGCTGCTTTGGATCACGTTACAGCTGATATTGCTCTGGACGGCAGTGGAGGCAAGTGCGAGCGAGAGAGCAAGAGAAAGAGAGAGAGAGAGCGAGAGTGTCTCTTTGATCTTCCTAAGTATTATTCATTAATTGGCATCCTTCTCAGATCAATGGATTGGCCAAGTTCACAAATGTCCAGTGCTCTAGTTTGGATACCAACATCAGCGTGTTCACATCTTGTCGCCTCTATGCGGTTAAGCGAGACGTCGTCGAGATGAGTTTGCGGATAAAGATCTTGCAGTTTCCCAAAAGGCCAGTTGCGGTGAGTCTAGATTGAATATTCACTTCATAGTATCTATGGGAAATTTCCCTGAATGGGGCAATTCCCCAACTATAAGATCAACTGTAAGATCAACTATACACATATATGATATAAATTTCGAGACAACGTACAAAGTTCAAAATCAAGGTTTATTCTAGCGTAAACGTTTAATAACAATCTCTTCCTTTTTCCACTTGTTCCACAATAATATCAATTCAAGGTTATAAGATTATATATAAATGCTTGAACAGCATGAGATCTCGATCTAGACAATATTTATTTGGTCGCCTGAAATATAGAGCATACCACTATTATTATTATAGTAATATATAAATTATGATAATTACTATGTGATCAGCGCGATGTTTTAGGTGAATTTACGCAATTTTCAGTGGGATATTCTCCATCAAATCAGTCAAGCAAGGCCGAATTATAATTTTATATCGATTACACACATTATATACAGACTGCTGAAAAAATATATTCTGTATTTTTAAACACAGCAAAACTTTAGTGAATTTAAAAGAAAAAAAAAAAATAAAAATAAAAGAAAAAAGAAAATATTTATATAATGTATGGTATTAAAAGTACATATATATATTCTTAAGAGCGTCAAGCTGTCCATATATACCACGCGCATGTCAAGTTTCTAAGTTTTCTAACGTATTTCCTCTAAGTGTTTCGTTTAAGAATTTCTTTTAAGTATTTCCTCTATAAATTTATTCTAGGGTTTTCCTTTAGAAATTCTTCTAAGTATTTCCTCTAAGAATTTCCTCAAATTATTTCTGCTAAGTGTTTCCTCTAAGTATTTCTTCAAAGTCTTTCCTCTGAGAATTTCTTCTAATTATTTCCTCTAAGAATTTCCCATAAGTATTTCCTCTATGTCTTTATGCTCAGCTTCCCTTCACTCCACTTCACTTTACTTCACTGCACTGCTGACCCCCACCAGGCTTGGGCGACTGAAGAAATACTGTAGCTGCTGCCCCTTATATAGGACGACTTTCACTCACAACCTAAGTTGCGCTCAAATGTTGAGCCTGACGTCAGGTAGAGGCCGTTGCAGTCGACCTTCAAGTGACCAATGGGAACACCCTCTGCTGCTTTTCTTAGGCAGAGAGAGAGAGCGAGAGAGAGAGAGAGAGAGAGAGAGAGAGAGAGAGAGAGTGGATAAAGTGTGAGTGAGAGCGAGAGAGAATGAGAGAGAGAGAGCTATTGAGTGAGAGAGACAGAGAGAGAGAGATTAATATTTATACTTATTATATGGCATAGACAGGAATTTTTTCTGTTCTATACTTCTCTTAAGAACTAGAAATTCTATATAAATTTCTGGCTTTTCCATCCAACGAAGAATCGTGATGGATTCAGGGGATCTCGCATTCGAGCAGTCTCGAGTAGAGCAATATATGTTTTATAATATCATAACCATTAAAAATAAAGTAATTTTATAGAGATCCGATCAAATTGAATGCAAAACAATTAATATAATGATTGTAATTATTATATGTTACGTTTGATTGGTTGAAAAACAAATTTGATATAGTATAATTTACATAGTTAACTTAATCATTTTCTAGGTATTTTATGAAAATCAAACAATATTTTTTTTTTTATTAAACCACCTTTGACCTTAGTCGGAAGGAAATTGCCTCATTTTCCACTTTTCAATTTAAAACAAGGAGATAAGATTCAAAACAAATATTTATGGACCGAACACCCCCCGTGCCAGATCTTACGTCGAATAGTGAATGATCGCTTAACAAAGAATTTATAGAAATACATAATGCTGTTTGCTTGTTCTGATAAACTCTGAACTAGATGCGACGACGATTGTCCTTGCGCACGGTCATGGTACGATTTTGCATTTCAATGGCATGGCGTTCGCTTTTCAGCAGATCCTCCATGCCCAGGAGCGGATCTTCATATTGGTTCGATTCGTCATTGGTTAATTCCGGGAGGTATTGCTGCCGTCGGTGACCTCGATTTGGTTTATCGCTCAATTTCGTATTCAGCTCTGTCTGCAGCGAAAGTTTCGATAGTTTCCTTTGATTCGGAACCATGGAAGTTGAGTATGAGAGCGGCAATGGGTCATCCAACTCGTCTTCGTTCAAATTGGAGTCATACAAGACATTTCTATGGTTAGTCGCATCCCGGTCTGGAAACGGTGGATTATTCGCCTCGGTAGCCGAGTCTAGAACCTGCGAAATGCTTGGGGCAACCGCCTTCAATTGCTTCTTCCAAAGTCTTGAGATCACGGGCAATATTGTATCCAGACACTTGACGCATATCTGCGTTGCGTAGTTCATGAAATCGGCCATCAAATTGCGCTTGCCGTACTGCATGAAGTTATCGATGCGTGGCATATAGCGCTTCAGCAATGGGTTCAGAATCGAATCGAAGACCCAGACGCTGGCCTGTGGAGCCGTTAGAACCAGCCAGAGTACAATCAATAGCTTCGACTCCATATACAGTGGCACCCAGTGGAGGAATGTATCGCCAACTAGCTCGATGGTCACCAGGCACGCATAGACTATCCAATATTTGGCCCAGCCGATCAATTCGTCCTTACCAAGTGCATTGTGGGTGTAGCGAGCCGGCAGCAGTATACCAAAGACAATGATCAAGAAACGCGTAACGATGCCAAAGAAACACATATTTAAAAAGAATCGTTTCAAAAATTATAAATTACAGATTACAAAAAAAAAATGATTAGAATTTACTTGCAGACCTCTACACTCTCTCCCTTGACTTGAAGTGTAGGGCAAATTGCCTTTTGCATTTCAGTTTTCGTCTTTTTTTCTCTTACTACCTGAACTACGCGCCTACTTAGAATATATTAAATTTAATATATTTATTATTATTTATTTTTTTATTTTATTTTATTTATTTTTATTATTATTTTAAGTTCAGTTTTATTTTTCCTTACTACTTGAATTACGCGCCGACTTAAGATATTCAATGTAATATATTTATTTTATTAGTATATTTATTTATATTTTTTTAAACTTTTTGTTGAGTTTAATGCAAACTTGATTTTAGTTTATTTAGATATATTAAACAACTAATAAATTAATGATCAATAATTAAATAAATAAAGGATTTTTGAATAATAAATACTGAATAAAAAATCATTAATAAGTAAAGAATAAAATAAAAATAATTATGCAAAAACTGATTAATAAATGAAATAATAATAAATTAATAAAAAAAAAAAAAAAAATGAGTAAAAAACCTACAATAAATAAGAAATTAAAAATAAGTCATTAACCAATTAATAATTAATAAAAAAACATATAATAAATAATAATGAGTAAAGAGTAAATAAATAATTTTAAAATATAAAATATATGAATTCAAAACTACATTTCTGATCAAATAAACAAAAAATATTAATTTATATAAATTAATAAATTTAAATAAAAATATTCTTATTCTTCTTAAATATTTAAAATTTAAATTTATTATATTGGTTTATCATTTATACATTATTATTATTATTATTAATCTTCCTTTTATTGTATTTTTTGCTTTCCCTGCAACTTTTTCTAGATGCGAATTCAGCTGCTGAAGCGTGCTAGCGGCTATAAGCCCTTTCTCTACGATGTCAAGCATTGCAATATGTGCGAGTATCTGGAGAAACGGAATCATCCGTTTGTGAACATTGTCTTCAATAGTTTCGCCAATCATACAAATGTGAACAAGTGTCCCTTGCCCGTGAGTGTTGCAAAGGCGCACGATGCGTATACTTGATATTTAAATAGGAAACTTCTATATAAGAATATCTTAATCTTATGCTAAAATATATATTTAATTCCATATTATTTGCAGTCTGAGCTCAGTGTGGAGCATTTTCGATTTCCGGTCAAGTCGCTCGATTTTCTACCTCTGCCTGGGGGCGACTATGCGATCTATTCCACATTCAGCCTGGATCATCGAGATCGCGTCTCGCTGAAAGTGTTCTTCACGCTGACCGAATAATAAATATGAGAGCGCATTTCAATAATAATTAAATTATAATATGAATATGATATAAATAAATGTGTGTACGTAAACGCTTTCAATAAATCGAATAATTGTAATTGGATTCATTGACAGCGCCATAAACCAAATTGCGAATTACATGTGTTTCAGTTGTGAACTCGAAAGACGACAAAATATGTGAACATATGAACGAGAATTCAAATCAATATATATTACAGATGTATATGTATATAAATATATATTTATACACATTTTTTGTAATTTGTGCTGCAGTGCTATATTATTGTTAACGTTATTATTATGGTTGATTTTATTGATGTTTTTATTAGGCCCTCGGCACGTGCATGTGGGTCACGAAACCAGGTGTCTCTTAATTGGCAATAAATTCTGGAAACTTTTCGAATTTGACATTAATATGGAAAATTTCAAATTTCAAGTGAACCTCAAAGGTCAGCCAAAACCTTTCGTATTCACATGGCTTAGCCTCTAGAGTTAGCTAGGCGCGACCCTGCAAATGCTCGGTCATGACATTTGGGCAGGCATTAAAAAGCCATCAAGTCTATTGAAATCAAAGACCTTTTCAGCGCATTATTAGCCGATGTCCAGCCCCATTGAAACTGAAACGAAAATTAATTGTAATTGTGTCTAATAACTGAAAGATGTTGACGGAAATCGGAAATCGCAAACCTCAAACGCGCGAGCCGACCCAAAGGCTGTCGCTCCAAACATAATTACAAAAGGCAAGATATATAAATATATTATAATATCATATTATATATGTATATGTGTATGTAAATTCAGTTATATATATATTCAAATATATATATATATATATATATATATATATATATATATATATATATATATTTTTTTTTTTTTTTTATTTTTTTTTTTTTTTTGCATGCATAATGAATTTATGGGTCAATTGCAAAAACTTGAACTCCAAAACTGATTTGTGGGATCCCGCTTAAATGTTGTGTTATCTTATGTTATTGAGATCCCAGTGACAGGCCGATTGCCTAGGAAGTAATAACAATAATAATACTCATCGACAAACGGCAACCGCAACAACAGCAACAACAACAATCATGCCTCAACAATGCATAAGTGTTGGCAATTAATTTCGCATGCAAATTAATGAGTGGCAATTAGCAGCCAAAGACAAAAAGCCCATTTATAATAAGTTTTGTTTGTATTTTCTCTCAGATGCAAAGCTTACAATAAATATATATACTACATACTATATACTATATTTATATATATTATTTACGCTTGCTCATAAGTAATTTTCGCACAGTTAATTTTTTTTTTTTTTCATTTTTGTATTTTTCATCTTTTGGGACGTCGATGAGCGCTTTATCGCTGATTAACCCAAATTCAAATGAAGTAAGGCATCAAAACAATCAAAGCCACAGTCCGACTGAGAGCCACAGTCGAAGCCAAAGGCTAAGGAACTTCACGCACAAAAGTTATTGACTTTAGACTGAGCTGGGTTTAGTAGCCGACGCACGTCATGCGACATCAACGTCAGCTCTATACACACCTGGTAAACATATGCACATAAAAATGTAAGTGATTTCCTTTGAGCATAAGAATGAGCGACTTGACTGTAGCCGACTGAACAAATGCTCTACAGGTAGGAGTTGCTTGGTAATGCTTCAAATTTGAATTTGGGGTAATATTCTACTGGATAGATTTTCTGTGCCTACCAATAGGGAGTGTTCTACTTATTAAATACTCTGTAACTGACTAGTCTTACATCAGAAATATTTTAAGTTTCTTTCAAAAATAGAATCTAGTATTTAGAAATTAAGCTTGATCAATTGGGCATATACTCTGTATTTAACTGAACTTGCACCAGCATTTTTCTAAATTTTTTCTAAGCATGCAAGTACAGGAATTATTCGACTGACTGTAATGCTGTGATAATTTCATATTTTTTATATACACTAACTAGGTCTTTTTCTCTCACACATACGTATTTTGTATATGTGTAAGTATATGTATATACTGAAGTAAAAATATGTGTGTATATGAATATATATTTAAAAGTTTATATATTATTTCATTTTAAGATATTAAGAAATCGAGAATCAATTAAACTATACATAAATAGCCTACAAAAATTACAGAAAATTTTAAAAATAGTATCAATCGTATGGGGGTAATTTAAAAAAAAAAAAATAAAAAAATCGCAATATTTTATAGTCGAGTATAAGCCACTTCGGACAACAACTTTTGGTTTACCAGGAATTTAATATAATTTAAATTTACTTGCTCCATACATATTTTTAATGGTCAATAACTTCGGGTTATTACCAAAAATTGTATTGTTTGTTGGAGCACCATTCAAATATATCCTAAAGATTATAGAAAGCTTATAGCTTATGATAGAGAAGGCCTATAAATAAATAAGATATGCTGCTGCTATAACCATATATCATTCAAAGTCAAAAAACCATAAAGCCTACAATTGTTAATAAATATATTTAAAGCTCGCACGCTTGCCAATTGTTATACTCATTCATGAACGTAAAATGAGTATATTGGTTGTGTTTTTAGCATGTGCTCAGTATAAATTGTGTGCTAATTGCATTCAAATTGTTGGCATTTTCTGGACAGCATTCTCCCGATCGCTGTGAAGCCATTCATCTGTGTTGCAAGCCGCAGAGTGTGCATGCTGCAAGTTCGTTGCTTCAGTCTTTTGTTTTGCTATCGAACAATTAATCAGCCTTTCGGCAATGACAAATCATTTGCTTAGTTTAACACAAATTGTGTGTATTTTGTGATTTTTTTTTAATAAATTGATTTTTACTTGAGTGACAGCAGCAACGTCTCCGCCCCCTCTGTCGACCCCTCTGCCCCTAGCATTTCCTTCATTTTGCTATGATTCAGATTTGTGAGCTGCAGTCTTTATTTAAATTTTGATTTGTTGCTGTGCAGGAAGTAGCTTCCGTGTATCAATTTCAATAATAATTAATTAATCGTTGAAACGAATGAGATGATAATTAGCTGAATGCCTTACAAAATTGTATTGTACTTTGACATTTTAATAATTTGAAAAATTTCCTGTAGATTTCATTTTGCATTTTATTATTAGTATTTAGCCTGAAATTCTTTTATGTACATATTTTCTTTATTTATTTGAAATGCATTTTTTTGCTAGTATTGAGTTATAGATAAGGGAATTTTTTTATAATTTAAAAAAAATATTTCCATCTATTATTAGTAAATGTATATGCATGAGGCACTTGAAGTGAAACATAACTAAAAGGAGAATTTATGGCATTGATTTTGCTTTGCCTAAAGAGCTTTAATATAAATATTTTTTAGATACGAGACCTATGTAAATACTTTAAAATTAAAAAGAAATTCTCACTGACTAGATAATATAAAATTTTTAACTGTATATTTATCTATGTTTTATATAACATTTCCACGCTTTTATTATAAAGTATTTTGTCTGCCATTAAAAATTAGCTAATAATTAATATCAATTCATTTTCGAAATTCCTAAAGATTTTTTCATTAGAGATGTATTTTTTGATGATTGTAAAACATCGTCCAACCTCTCTTAACTTGACTTCATAAAGAGCCAATTTACCATATGTATACTTGAGTTACCTTCATATCTGCTCTAGAGTTACTAAAAGAGTTTTATTCAGCTTCTGAAATGCCCTGAAATATTGTAATTTAGTTTAAGACTTGTTCAAGATGACATTGATATATTTCTTTAATTTGATAAATTCCATTTGTTACATTATTTATAAAACATATTTTACCTTCAGAGCATTCCCATGGCAGCTTAGTACTGCAGCCATTTCGAACTCTCATTGCTCACTTATCTCAGGCAGATAAGTTCCACAGCTGTTCAACTAAACAGCGTTTTCTTTTACACTGTACCATTTCACAATTATTTTTGTATTTTAATGAAGCTCCATTGAGCACTTAAGAGTGTTTCATCTAATGGGCCCGAGCTGTGCTAGCCAATAATCCAGAGCGTGTTTTTCTTTCGCTGCAGCCGCCTCGTCTCGACTTGTCTCGCTGACTTATGAATATTTATAGATTATTGGCTTGAAACACTAAACGTGGCCAACGAGCTGTGCGCTTGCAGTGAGCGAGTGAGCGAGAGAGAGCGAGCGAGTGAGAGACCCAGCTTATGGGTCAGATTCCGTACGGTGGCTCGCAACCGCAACGGTTTCTGGTGTGTTGTGGCCCGTCCGCTGGGATTGGGACAACTGGTAGCCAGCTCGTACGACATAATAGTGGCAATAATGCTTATAATATAATCGACAACGAACCAATATTTTGTAAAATGCTGCAATTTTCAACTTGTCGCTTTATGCAGACTTTAATTTGAATTCGATTTTTCGTTTATTTCCAACTATATTTTGTATTTTTTATGAAATTTATTCACATTTCTTCAGTTGGGCCATAATTTAGGTTGATTTTATATTCATATTTCCATTTGTTACAATTTTGTTTAAAGTTTTTGGGTTTTTTGTTATTGTTTTTGATTTTTGTTTTTGTTGAAACCCGATTAGTTGCAGTGTTTCATATACATATTTTTTATTACATCATTCAAATGAGCCAAGTGTGTTGCCGTTGACAATTTCGTAAATGTGGTTGGCGGATTTAGTTAATTTCTTTGTTGTTGTTGTTGGTGTTGTTTGATTGTTTGTTGCTTCGATTCCCAACTTTTTAAATCAAAAACTGAATTATTTGTTTTTTTTTTTTTTTTTGAAAATTATGCAAATGTTTATGGATTTTCTTTGTTTCTTCATGTTTTCTTTTATAGAAATTCGAAAAGATTTATGGGTATATATTCATGTTGCCCTCATATAATGCTTTACGACACTTTAACGCCTTGTAAAACGTCTATTTACCATTAACGATTGCACGATGCCTAGAAAATGATAAATTGAATATGACGAATTGAACTTCTTGTCGGGGCTTGAGGTATGCAGCCCAGCAGGCCAATGACATTGACCTTTTCCACAGACGTGAATTAATGTGAGAAGGAATATTTGGCTTATTAATGGCTAGAAAATAAATTCAAATTTGATTTGGCTTGAGCAGAAGTAATTCACTAAATAAATGAAACTAAGTTCAACTGTCTTAAATATAAAAAAAAATGGATAATCTTAGTTTGATAAACAGGGTTAAAACTCCATATAATTTTTTTTTTTAATTTCAGATTTAGTATTGTAGACTAAAATATAAAATTTACCTAACTCAAAAATGAAATCGCCATCAAATAAAGAACAACTCAAGCAGAGCACAAAACGTTTCAAATTATTATCGAATTTATAAAATTGTCGATCAACGGGGGGCGGACAGGAATTAAGGCAATAATTAAATGTAATGCCAATGCGCTGGCATTTCGGCTGTGAGAAAGCAGCGAAAAGCGTCAATAAACACAACAGATTCAAGACAATGTAAACAAATGCAAAGTAATTAACACGAAATTCACATAAAATGGTATTAATGGCATTAACTGGGGGAGACAAACGGTGGCAAATGAAACCTGTTGCAGTCTGAGCAGCAGCCGCAGCAACAGCCACAGCAGCAGCTGAAGCAACAACAGGCGAGGCATATGAAGAGTAAAAAGTATTCGCAGCTCATTAATAGATTTTCTATCGCAGCTGGAGCTAAATGTCGCTGTGCTGCCAAGCAACACGTGTAATGACACCGATACGTTGATGATATTAATCTAATTCGTTTATATAACATTTGATTGCATGCGAATTTCGAGCTGAAATGGCAAATGGGGTCATACGGACTCTCATTCACATTCACATTCACGCTCTTCCTCTCACTCTCGCACGCTCGCTCGTTCTCTTTCTCTGACTGACGTTGAGTCATTCATATGGATTACAATATTGAATACCCTTTTTTGAGCAGCCTCGTTCATTGCCGTTTCACCCAATCGACCAGTTGGCCAGACGTTAAACAACTGCCGGTCTTACGTACCCGAGAGTTCACTGTACGCACCCACCAATCGTTTGATCGTTTTGAAATCTGGAACAATTTACATCTTAATTGGGGTACGCATTTGCATATTGGCTATAGACATTGAACTTGGCCATATGTGGAAGTGTTATGACAAATTTGATAATTGCATTCAGGCTAAAACAAAAATTCTGAATCGTCGTTGGCTGGCCAAGTTCTATTTTGGCCCGAAACACATGTTGGCCTATCATTCAGCAGCTTCCTGATAAGAATATGCAGTGCTGTCAATGCCTTAATGACACATTTCGAATTAATTTTTATTATTATTTTTTTTTTTCATTAACTAACGATTTAACAATGTCTGTTTTGTGCCTGGAGATTTGCATGTGAGTAATGCATTGATGCGAAGATTGTAAACAGAAGATAAATTAAAACAAATCTTTACAACATTAATCAAATGCATTTCAACAAACAGAAATGCACTCGAAAAGTCATTCAACGCAGAGAGAGCAAGAGAGAGAGAGATAGAGTCATAACCAACTCAAGCTTTACACTCACAAATTCCACTCAAAACTTCCACTCAAAAGCTAACTCATGCCTGCTGACTATGAAAAATGCAAGTGTTATTTCGCTGCTGTTGTTGTTGTTGGTGTTGCTTTTGCTTTTGCTTTTGTTGTTGCTATCGTTTTCGTTTTCGCTTTCATTGGAAGCTTTCAAGGCAACTTTAGCTGTGTGGCTTTAAGCCAGCCACTAGCTTTGGGCACAAGACAACGGGCCAAAGCTCAGCTCTTGGCTTTGTAGCTGTTTCTGAAGCTGCTGCTGCTGTGGCTGTTGTTGTTGTAGTTGTAGTTGTAGCCGTAGCTGTTGTTGTCTGTCTGTCTCGCTTGCGCCGTCGCGTCGTCAGCTTTTATTGTTGTTGCCGTTGCTGGCCCGATCATCGTGCGCTATATTTTTTGGACTGCGCCGCGCAGCCCAAGCGAACGTTAACTTTAGTGTGCGCCGACCAGTTTCCGTAGACGGCCACAAAACACGGTACGCAGACGCGATATCAACTTAACTAAAACCAACTATCAAAATTTTTCAAAATTTCAATACAACAAAGAAAAGCCAACCACAACAACAAAGCAAAAACCAATCGAAGAGCGCTCCGCTTATGTAAGCCCCAGCCTCTAAGTTCTATCCAGTGCAGTGGCCGAGCGCAGCGCTCAAAGTGTAAACACAACAACAACAACAGCAGCAGCAACCCCCCAACACCAGCAAAAAGAAAAAAAATAATAATAAAAGGCAGCAGCTACAGCTCAACTTGAATTAAGCTCAATTCGCAATCTCTCAACTCTCCGTTTTTTCGTAATCGCAAAACAAAAGCAAAAGGCAAAAATAAAAATATAAAATCAAAAGAAAAAGAGAAAAAAAGTGAATCTGCCTTTCGAGTAATCTCCATTTTAATTTCCATCTCTCTCGCACCCAACAGTCGGACAGTCTGCCATTTTTTTCCGTTGCTGCTGCCGCCGCTGCTGCTGCGCCGCGCGTTTTTTATTGTTTATGTTTTTTCGTGTTCTGAGCCCCCAGAGAGAAGGTTAAGAAATAATAAAAGCAATACAATCATCAGAATCACAATTACGATCACAATGAAATGGAATGAGTGAAAAATAAATTTCGTTAACAACAACAACAACAACAGCAACGGCAACAACAACAGCAAAAGTCGTCTGCCAAGCAAATTTCACGCCGTATTTAATCTTAGCGCACTGCCTGCCTGCAGTTTAATCGCTGTTCGTCTTTCTTTCCGTTCGTGTTGTGTGGGTTCTGTGTTCTTCTGGTTCTTCTCTGTGTGTGTGTTATATATTCTTAGTGTCTTCTGCCATCTGATGATCTGCGGCTGTTCAACAGTTATCAGTTATCAGTTAGCAGCTATCAGCTAACAGTTATCGGCGCGCGTCTCGTTATCGTTATCGTTATCGTCGAGTTCGAGCTAGAGCCAGAGCCAGAGCTAGAAGTTGAGCACACGGCGCAGGCGCAGTCGTTAACGTGTAACGGTACATTCGCAACGGTAACATACACACTCACACACACATTCAACACACCCAGAGTCACATCAAGTCCATCGCAAACGTGTATGAGAGTGCTGTACAAAATTTGATCATACTTTCCCCGAAAAAGGATTTCAACCGTCCAGAAATTGGACATCATTTGGACTTGGGTAAGCTGCAAACTCCAAATAAACTAAGTTAGGATTATTCAAAATATATATTTAGGATTATAAAAAATAAAAATTGAAAATCATTTGTGTAGGAATATTGTACATTTTTAATTCATATTTTTTTAATACAATTTATTTTTATTTAAGTAACTTAAAATATATTTTTGAGCGTAAAAAATATTACACTTATATGTTATAAAAATATAATTTTGTATTTATTTATGTAATATACTAGTATTTAAAAATGTTACTTTTAATTTAAAATTATTTATCAATTTTTTGTTTATTTTTTTTTTTTTAATCTAAAATTAACTTTTAAATACAACTTTCAATAGAACAAGTATATTTTTAAAATCGAATTAGAGCTAATACTGAGAACAATATTCCTCTATTAAACAAATAGAGAAATGCTTGCTTTCAATTCCTAAAATTCTCTGTCACATGATTTCTTGTTGTTAACCAAAATTCTGACTGGTGCCTGGCGGTTCATAGAGACAGCATGTCTGCTCCATCTTTGGGCTAAGCCTAAAATTAAATAATAATAAAAAAAAGTTAATCAATCTATTGAAGAAGTTGGCTAACGAACGTATTTCGTTGGCTTTTACTAATTTGCGGACAAGTTTGTTTAATTAAAACCTTTAACACGTTTTATACCATCGAATTATAAAATTTTATCAACTTGTTAATTGCCACAGTAAACAGAGGTAATAGTAATACATGCATAATATTTCAGAGAAAATATTAGCTCAAAATTTGACTCCATTCAAAAAGTGGGCTTGTTTCTAGCTAATGCAATACGTAATTGATTTTATTTTTATTTATTTTTTTTATACCTATTCAAGAAAGTCAAATGAGTATATTTATAGAGTATATTAAATTTGTACAAAATCCGTTTTGCTGTTCGTCCATTTCGCTACTATTGAAGTTGTGGAAAATGGAAATTTCGTATCTTGAATTATAAAGTGTCAAGCTTTTCCGTATACGCCCACTATAGGCGTGGCAAATGCATTTCCCGGTAGGGTCTTAGAGAGCTGTACTTTAGAAATTAAGGATTTACTCATAAGTATTACATATATTTATTTAAATATTTGTACATTAATTGAGGGCGTGGCAAATCGGAAAATCAATCTCTTTGGGCGCTGAATGCGTATTATGTAGTCGGTAATGCCCGATTGCAATGTTCTTAGTTGCTTTGATTTTGTTTTGTTTGCTAGTTGTAAATGCATTTTAAAGCGACTTTTCCACTGCTTGTTGTTGTTGTATGCGTTATTATCTCATTGTTGTTGTAGTAGTTGTTGATTTTGTAATATTGCTACAGTTATTATTGCTCGATACGTTTTACTCAGCTCTCTTCGCCTGCCATTGTTGCAATTATTGCAGCTTGTATTGCAACAAAGCAGAGAGAAAGACAGGCGGACAGACAGAGAGAGGCAGAGAGAGAGAGAGAGCGAGGGAGTGAGCACTGAAAGCTTTCAGCTGCTGCTGCTGCTGCTCAGTGAGTTAGCTTTTTTTGGCTTGTAGTATGCATATCGATCGGTTAGCTTCCAATCGAGACAATCCGTAACAGTAGATTTGCAACTTTCTATGCACTCGAATTCTATGGCTAGCTAGCCCTTAGACCATTCATTTGTTTATTGTGAGGCAAATGCGAGTTGTATTTCGCTTTGTTTGCAGCTCGCCGAATTCAAATTCAGTTTTAGGCCTTGCAGCTCGTTCATCAGCGAGACAGTGTTCACTTTTATTTTTATTTTTGTTTTGTTTAATTCATCTTTTATTTATTGTTGTTGGCGTTGCTGATGCTGCTGTTGCTGTTGCTGTTGTTGTTGTTGTTGTTGTTGTTGTTGTTTCATTGACACCGAAGAAGAAACCCGAGTAACCTGTTTGTTTGTCTCTCTGTCCGGCAGTCGCCTATCCGTTCAACTTTTGTTGTGTCTGCCTGTGCGTGAGGGTTTGTTTGTGTTTGTATTTTATTTAATTGCATTTTTATTTCTTCTTCTTTATCATTTCATAAATAGTTTTCCAGCGTAATTCACTGCTGATAATGTGTGCATCATTTTATTTTTATCTCTTTGGCAAAGGTATTTGGAAAAGTAATTTACTGTAGCAAAAGTTGTGTGCAAAAATGTTGCAAATATTTATTTGAGATATATATTTAATATAAAAAAAATTATTAAAATATATATAAATATTTATTTTATATAAATGTATTTTTAAAAAATATTATGGTTTCGTAAGCATTATAAAAAACTAATATTATGATTTTATATATCAAATATTTTAAATATATTTAAAAATAAAATTTATATTTAAAAAGTATTTTTTTTAAATTTAAAAAAATTTTAATTTGTTTTGTTTTTTTATATTCTAAAAATTACTTTTGTAATTTAAAAAAATGTAACACAAATTTTTCATTAAAAGCATTTTATTTTTTTTTTATAATTGTAATTTTTTTATAATTATAATTTTGAAGTATGTTTCTTGTATTTATCAAAACATTAAAATATTTCTAAACAAAATTTTTTATAATTTTTTATATTTAATTTATAGATAAATATAAATTTTATAGACATGTATACATCTGTTTAAAAATAGAATCTTTGATTATTATTTTAATTTTATTTTGCATCAATTTATCTTAAGGTATATAATTTGTATACAAAAACAAGGCTTAAAGGTCTTTAAGAGACCTTTTACCTACTTAATTGATTACTCTCAGCCAATCTGCATAAAATATTTAAAACGCCCATTCAAAAATACAAACTTCCTGTTTAATATTATAAATATGCAAAATTCGTATAAATTTAATTGCCGCCAAGCAAAGCAAAATATTTCTTAAAAAAAAAAAAAAATCACAAAACAGTAAAAATTAATAAATTATAAATGCAAATGTCAAAGATGTAATAAGTTAGCTCATTACGAACGAAAAAGCGTAGACAAATACATAATACATGGATGGCTTTGCTTTATACGCGTACACGTTGTGCTTTTCGACGTCTTCTTCAATTTCAATTTCAATTTCACTTTCATTTTGCGGTTTACAGTTTTTCCAACTGGCAACGGCGACCGCAGCGCTGCACGCAAGCTACAAGTTGTTGTTGATGTTGTTGCTGTGTGTGTGTGTGCGTGTGTATGTGTGTTGCATGTTGCATGTTGTAACAGCAGCTGGGAAACAACAACAACATTTGCAGCTGCAATAAAACATTTCAATTCCGAAATAATTTTGTTTGCAGCTTGCTGTTGTTGTTGTTGTTGTTTTTGCTTGTTCTATGGTCTAAGCCAGTTATAAATACATAAATAATTTTTGTATGTTTGGCATTTTTGTTTTGACTGATTTTGGTTCGTTGGAATTTTGGAATTTCTTCTTTTATTTTTTGTTTTGTTTTAATTATTATTTTTTTTTGAGGTTTTTTGATTTAATTAGCTTGCTGGCGCGCACGTCGTATACACAATATGCTTGTTGCTTATGAATTTGTATGGGCTATATATATATATATATATATATATATATATAAATATATGTGGTATATGTATTCAATATAAATAAAAATATTTATTTTGTAAATATATTTAGTAAGTAAATAAATCATATTTATATCTATAATACATATATTTTTTCCATATATGATATTTTGATATTACGTATACGCTTGGTATGTATAAAATTCTAGAGCAATAGATTAAAGCTATATTCTTTATTATAAATGTTAGTATAGGTACTGTATTATATTTTTAAGTATGTACAGCTTATTATATATTATAAATATATTTTATGTTAAGTTTATATTATTTATATCAATATTTTTATACTCACAGCTCAGTAGAAATGGGAAATCAGGGTAAATTGGTTTCATTAAATGTATGTTAGGCAGAAAAAGTCGTGGCAGACCCCATAAAGTATATATATTCTATATCTGGGAGATGAGCTCAGTTGATTTAGCACTGGCTGTATAAATCGCTTATCTCAAAGTCGATTAAAAGCATTAACAATTAAAAATTTAAAATTATATCTTCAACATATTTAGAGCTGGAGTCTCCAAATTTCGCATGTATATTCATGTGTGTATCATACAATTTTGATTTTTAAGATCTATTAAATTCACCCACTTATTCACTTCCTTTTAGTTGCCATACATTATATTTTTAGCTTGCGCTAATCATAACAAATTTGTTGAATTCGTCAATTAGAGAAATTTAAAAACAAAATTGTTAACGCATTTCAGCAGTTGCCTCTTCTCGTTGTTGTTGCTGTTGTTGTTGTTTGAGTATTTTTGGTAACCTGCTAGGCGAAGCCGTCCGCACAGCTGTTTTTGGGTTTCATTAGCTGTCGGCGGCTTTTCAACACACATTCAAGGTACAAGTTCCCAACTCTATTGTTTCGCCTATAAACAATAGAAAAAGATTCGCTCGCCCTTTTACACACACACACACACTGACGAAGGCACACATGCACACACACTCTGACAAATTGCAGCTGATACGAAATGTTGAGCAAATGCAAAGAGTTCAGGTCGCAGACATTTTACGTAATCCTTTCCGTCAGCGTTGTCGCCGTGGCGCTGCTGCAACCTGCAACATTTCAACTTTGAAATCAAATTTATTATCTTTTGTTGGCTTTCGGTTGCTGCGCTGATTTTTTTTCTATTTCTTTTCGGTTTGTTTTTCTGACTTTTTTTTCGCAAAACGCCAACAGTTGAACTTTGTTATGTCACTTTGTTATGCTCACAGTAGATTATATTGTGATTTGTGTGGGAGTTTGGTTATTCATGTTTGGGCATTTGGTTTTGGGTACGCGTTAGGCTAAGAAGAGTTGCATTTAATGTGTGCCTCTTTAACAGGCTAACCATGCGAAAAGTGTGTTGTTAACGATTTAAAAGGTCTCATAGACATACATACATATATATGTATGTATATGTGTGTATATAAATATTTCACAAACATTTCATTTAAATTTATTTGAAAGGAAGAATTATTACATAAGAGATTTAGGTGTTTCGCTTTGG